CCTTGCTCCCCTAAGCATGGTTTGTGTCCCCTTCACGCCTGCATGCTCTGGGAGGTCCAGCCAGTGCTGTTCTCTTGGCCAATCACCAGTGCTGACTTCAGTAAATTTGTTCGAGTCCCTGGCGGCTGCCGAAGTGGATGCCTACATTGTGCACCACAATGTAGCCATGCACACACGGCTCGGCCCACTCCGCCTGAGCAGAACGCGCAGGAAAGCGGACATCATGCCATCCCAAGAACGGCTGAGTGCCACACCTGGGCTGCCAGCCAGTTAAGCCCGTTGGCCACGCGGCCTCCAGTTTGTGGGGTGACAAAGTAGACCTGCAACGTCTTGAGCCGGGGGCTTGCACCCTCGGCGTTCTCTTGCCTTGCAGCTAGATTCCCGCGGCACTGGCAGTGGGCCTGAGCAAAGGCAACAATTTCAGGCTCAGTGTTAAGCTTTCCCCAAAGTGACCACAAAGAAAACAATCATGGCGATGGGGACGGCCAAAACGATGACAGAAAGACGGACGACGACAACGAGGGCGACGATGGCAAAAACGACCACGGCAACAACGACGGAACCAAGAACCACGACACCGACCACCACCACGACGATGGCGACAATGACGTCGACAATACGACAAGTACGATCATGATGACAACAATGACCATGGCCACCACGACGACGCTAACACCGCCGACAACGAGAACGACGAATCATGATGATGATGATGATGACGATGATGACGATGATGACGGTGACGATGACGATGATGATGATGCTGCTGATGATGATGATGATACTGTTGATGTTGATGATGATGATGACGATCACAATGACTATGACGATGGTGGTGATGATGATGATGCTTATGATACTGCTGCTGCTGCTTGATGATGACTGGGAGGGGTTATGTTGATGGTGATGGCAATGGCGATGGCAATTGTAGGAGTGATGCCCGTGCTGATGCGGGTGTGATGATCATGATCATAATGATAACAATAGTGGTGGTGGTGGTGATGGTGGTGGTGATGGTGGTGATGGTGGTGGTGATGATGCCTGATGATGCTGATGGAGGCGATGACGTGACAGTGACAAACACATACCAAGACGAGAAAAACAAGGACGAAGACAACATTGACGATGGCGATGACAACAATGATGATGCTGATGCAGATAACGATGCTGATGCTGATGATGACGATGACGATGACGACGACGACGACGACGACGGCGACCACGACGACGACCACAACGACAACGACGATGATGATGATGATGATCATCGTCATCAACATCATCAACAACATCAACAACATGATGCCGGTGATGATGGTAATGATGGTGAGGATGATGATGATGATGATGATGATGATGAGGATGATAATGTTGATGATCGTTAATGGTGGTGATGCTGCTGACGATGGTGATAATGGTGATAACGATAAAGAAGAAGTGATGTTGATGCCGATGCTGAGAATAATGTTGATAATGATGACAATGATGATGATGGCGACGATGATGATGCTGAAGATGAAGATGAAGATGATGATGACGACGATGACATCGTCAGGGTCTGGGGTTGGGCCTGGGTGATGCTTCAGCGGGGCTTGGTCTGCATCATCAAGACTTCCTTCCAAAAAGCCTCTCAACCCATGAAGCACTGTTTTTTAGAAGGTATCGGAGGGATATAAGCGAGGCTCATTTTGCGCATTTTGGCGCCAAGCTGCCGGGCATGCCGGCGATGCTGGGTCCTCGCTCTACAAAACGCTGTAAATACCGCCAAAAGCTGCTGTGCTGAGCGTTGGGCTCTTGTTCTGTCCGTTTTCCTTTTGCTGTGGCTGGCTCGCGTGCTGCGCGGTCCTTGCTTTTTCCCCGTTGGTTTTCGGGCCTTCTGGCGCGCGCGCGGGCGTGACCCCAGCCACAAAACGCTGCTATTTACGGTGTTTTGTTGCATGTGCGTTTCCGGGCTGGCTTGCGGGCTGTTGTTTTTGGGCTGCTGTTTGTGGGGCCTCTGGCGCGCGCGCGCGCGACCCCATGTCAGCCTTCTGGGTTGGGGCGGGGCTGGGGCCCAGAAAGCTGGCATCCCCGGCATCATCTGGGGTTGGGGTGGGCAACATGCATAACCTAACCAGCCAGATCATAGCACAGGATACGTTTCTCATACAAAAAACATGACATGACATGGTATAACTTCAAAGAGGCGTGGCCGGCTAGAGGCCGCAGGCCCAGAAAATTTACCTCCTTTTTTAGTAGAGGGTCGACATGATACCCTGCAAAAAAGAGGGTAGTTGGAGTAGGGGGTATATGGTTATACTTTACATACATAGGTGTCCTTTCGGAAACATAGGTGGCCCTGAAAAATGGAATCAAACCCATCTAAACCAGTGCATTCTATTTGTTAACCAAACTAACCTAAAAAGGACACCTATGCCTACATACCTGACGTAGGTTGAACATCCAAGTAGGTGACCTTCTGAGCAAAATAGCTGGCCCCGGCAAATGGATGGCACACCCATCTAAACCAGTGCCATCTATTTCCAACCAAACTAATTCATCTAAGAAGGACACCTACGGCAATCGTGAGGATTCCGTCGCTGCCATAACGTTCGGGTGCCAGTTGCAATGGGTGACGCTTCAACATGGTCAACGGTCGCCTGTTTGTGCTGAAGCAATTGGCACACGCCTTACGCTTGCGACCTTCTGCCTTGGTGTGAGCAAAAGGAAGCCGTGCAATTGTTCTCCTTCCAACCATCATGGAAGTGGACAGAAGGGTCTTAGAAGACTACCAACTGTTGAAAAGGTCCCAACCGTCCACTTCCACAGACTGAGTAGGGTACCCCACTCCAGAGCCGACCTGTTGAGAAATATAGATGGGTTTCTCTGGTAAATGGATGGCATAAATCCTATCTAAAATAGGGCCTCTAGAGAGGTTAGAATAAGGGGACCCGATTTCTATTTTTCTGTAGTCTATTTTAGTAGGGGAACCCTCCCCCAAAAAAGGGTAAAAGGGACCTAGCAAACCATGGGAGCCCATCTATTTCATGGCACCTGTGCCCTCGCTTCCTACTCCGAGACCTCCGGGGCGCCATTTGCACGGCGACGTTCGTGGCTCTTGTGGGGTGCCCTTCTAGGTGTCATGCTTATCAAATGCTCACTTCCGATCGAGTAGTGGCCCCCCAAAGATATTGGTGGCGTCGTTTGAAACGGCCACTTTTGGACTTTTGGGGATCCAAAAAGGGGAATGGAGGAAAGCCTGCTAGTGTGCCGAGACCCCTTTGGGTAGCTGATCTGAATGTTGACCCGGATTGGTGAGCCTGGAGAATTTTTGGCTCACCCTCAGAGTGAAGTGTGTGAACGAAAAGGAGTTGCTCTTGCCCTATATGTTATCAATAAACCGGGGCTTTCTGATCTTATCTTGGCCAAACCTGAAGTGATTACACCAAAAAGAACAGATTCTGTCTCACATTTCGTCTACCCCAATAAAGCAGGTTTGGGCGTGTCATTTTTGTTGAGGGGACCCCCGAATAAGGTGGCATTTCCTGTCGGTGTCCCTTGGAAACAGACCAAGGGGTGCCAATTCCATTTGCTTCAGCCACCTGGAAAAAATAAATATACATCCGCTTAAAACCAACAAAAGGAAAATACCAAACTTCTTAAGCAAATGGAAGACAAGCAAAACGACCCCCCCTCCCCCCCAGAAACATGCGGGGTGTCCCCAGACCCCAGGTTTCCGGTTTCCGGGACCTCCATCATCTCCACCACCTCCACCACCTCCCCACCAATCTCCCCAGCCGCCACGCGACCTGGCCTGCAAGGTTCGGAATAGCCCTTGACCCACTGAGTCCATTCTTCTGGGTGGCCAATGGGTTTTCCTTTGGGTTTCCTATGGGTTGTCCTTTCGATCCCAAACAAAAGACGAGCCTGGAGCCTCTCGGCAGACCTTTCTTGGGTCTTCGATTTGCCAAGTGAAGTTGTAATGCAAACCGTTCAGTTGCCACGGTAGTAAGTCCGTGAATGTGGGGTTAACCAACAGTTGTTTGTGGGTAAACCGAGTGGGCATCCAGTGAACCACCCCTTAAACACCAAAAGGAAATGGTTGCGGCGAAACGCCTGCCCAACATGACGAAGCAATTCCCCATTTCCAAGGGGAGGCAACTCCCAAACCTTTCAAGGTTTCGAGTAATGGGAGTTGCCTCTCCCCACTTCGAAGCAGGAAAGCCCAGGATTGCTAAAACCCCTTGAGGCGACTTCCCCAACTCCACCCGGCGGCTTCCGGACTGCGAAGCGCCTCTTGCCACTTGGGCCTGCCAAAGGGCCACCAGTCGAAGCCTGCGGCGGAAGCATTGGTCCTGCCCGCGACCTCGATGCCCGTGGCATTCGCGGCGTTTGCGTTCGTAGCCGCGTGACTGGCCGCCTGGGTGGAGGGGTGCGGTGGAGTGGAGTGGAGTGGAGTGGAGTGGGGTGGGGTGGGGTGGGGTGGGGTGGGGTGGGGTGGGGTGGGGTGGGGTGGGGTTGGGTGGGGTGGGGTGGGGTGGGGTGGGGTGGGGTGGGGTGGGGTGGGGTGGGGTGGGGTGGGGTGGGGTGGAGGGGAGTCGGGGTTGGATACATGGGGGTTGATCAATGGTCCAAATTCGGCCCCCAAATGACCATGGGTAACTCTTCCCATGTGGGAAATATCGCCTTTTTGGGCGGCTCGTCCTTTTTTAGGGTAAACGGGCTCCCCAAAAACGGATTCGGTTTTCCTGGTGGTTCCCTTTCAAACCACCCAACACACCCATACGTCAAAATGGGGAGTTGCATGCCAGCATGGCAGCTTCTGAGAAAAAAAAAAGACCGCTTGGCACCCTCTTGGCTTCCTTGGGAGATCCGGAGCAACTGCCCAGTCGCTGTCGCATTTGCCGCTCTCAGGGACTTGGCGTCGCCGGCGGCCGCCGCACAGAAGTGGGCCAAGAGGAAGAGGCGCGCCATGGCCATGGCGACTAGGAGTCAGAGGTCCTGGAAGCCTGAAAGCCGCTGCGGTGAGAGCTTCTCGCTTCGAAACTTCCGATGTGGATCGGCAAACGCAAAGCTCAACCTGGGCGGCCCGTTTTCAGATCCCCTGCTAAAAGTGAATCACGTGTGGGTTAAATGGCTACCGCTAAACACTAAAAGGCCAAAAGGCTCAGGGGGTGGCTGGGAGCCACCAAGTAAACGTGAATAGATTAGCGAAAAAAACCGCTGCGACCTTTCGCGGCGACCACTCACATGGGTCGGTCGATCCAATTAGTGACTACAGTCCGAAAGAGCTTAGAATAATAGAATACCCTAGGGTACCCTTTTTGCGGTAGTCTATTTTAGTAGGGCAACCCTCTGGGGACAAAAAAAGGGGAGAGAAAGGGCACTACTGGGGGCCTAGATGAGGTTTGCTTCACCCATCGTTGAATTTGTTGAGAAGCATTCCTGATTCGAGAATGCTGAGGTCCCTGATTGGAACTCAGTGGAGGGTTCTTTCTGATGCTTGGGGTAGTTACCATTCGTGTTGACCCCATATTAATCAACCCCAGTTTATTAATAGGGGGGTGTCCCTGGGTTTAGTGGGGAATCATCACTTTGCAAGGGGAACACCCCATCAATACACTGGGGTTGATTCATGTGGGGTCAACATTACACTTCTACCCAGGGTTTGGGTGGGCTACCGTAGTCATGTCAATGGTTACCAGGGTGTGGTTCACCCCCCAAGAAATGGTTTTCGGAACTGTCCGTTTTGCTTCCCTCTAAAGCCAACGAAAAAGGGTTCTCCCCCCCCCCCCCAAATATGTATATATATATATATACAAATAAGACAAACCCAGAGTTGGTTCCTCTTGCTAAATGGTGGCTATGCTTTGCCTAAAATTGGAAGCACCGGGTCTCCTGAAAAAATCATCCCAGAACACATCGCACACCCTCGCTTGTTTATCCATACTCACGGTCATTTGAGGCAAACCAAGATCTGAACTTTGGACTCTCACATTATTCCCATATAAACATGGGGATTGCCTTAACATTGTAAGTGAAATTCTACGCTTACGTAGTTTAAGGATACTGCTGTTCAGGTCGTTAGTCGTTTGGTAAGTTTAATGGAAACATGACTTGAAGTTTAGGTCAAATCTAAACCACCAGAAAACCGCCGGTCTTCGTCCTTGTTTCCCTTTGCCAGGACCAGCCCAGTGTGGATACCTGCATCTTGAACCGGCATTTTTCCAAGCGGTCTACGGGACCTTTGAGGTCACGCCAAAAACTCAATATGTGAAATCAGGTCGATTTGGGTATGAATCTCAATTAGGGACCTTTTGGTGAACATCATTTAGGTGGGGATTCATTTCCAGAAACCACTTTTGAAGGATCTCCCCATTAAATTTCATAGCCATTTCGACCCCCCCCCCCCCCAAATGGCCCAGATCCATGGCCCCTGGATCGACGATCGGCGATCGAAATGTATTCAGCAAACCAGGGCGAAGTTCGAAAGCTTGGAGCCCTGTGGATTCTGTGGATGGGGTTGCGCAATCCGCGAGTCCGGCACCACCGGAATCAGAAACCCGAAAAAAAATGAGTCGATTCCCCCGTGAATACCAACAAACGTCACGGTTTCAGCCATGGTTTCAGGGTGGTGCAGGATTTGGTCCGCCTGGTGGTTTGGGTGTTGAGGGGGCACCTTCGCCATGCGGCTTCAAAAGGAAGAGGGGTTCACGTCCCCAAACCAATCCAAACCGCCGACTAAGGGGGTACTGTACCTGGTCTGCAACAGTAGATGGAGCTTGTAGATGACTTAAGCTGAAACCAGTGCCATCTAGCTTCGACAAAAGTGACCAACAAGGGACACGTTGAACATCGTGAACCACGCGAGATGCAGGAATTTGTCCGTTTGGGTTGGTAAACCCTCAAATTGGGGGTTGTCGCTCTATGGTTTCCTTTTAAGGCAGCCCCAAAACGTGTCACACAAAAAAGGCACACCCATCTACTGTGCTGTGGATGGACAAAATCCTCTAAACGCACCAGTTGGAATTGGTGGGGTTCATCCCCATTGTTCTGAGTCTGGGTTCCATGTGCGAAGTGGAATTTGTCCATCCGCGATCTGGGATCCTTACATTATACACCTGAACATTGCCTTGTCAATATGGTGGAAGAAGCCATGTTTCAAATGGGAGCCCTGGCGATCTGGAGCAAAAACTTGGACTTCGCGAGCGCGCGAAAAACCGCACCTGCGGAAGCAGCACTAAGGAGAACCCCACCTCAGGATTTCACGCCAGTCGCTTTGACCCTTGCCATGTGATTACCCGAACTCCTCAGGCACTCGAGAAGATGGCTTTCAAAGATCGAGCTGCTTGGCTTTGAGGGCTGGGTCCCGACTGACCGTAGCAGTGCACTGGTTGTGACTATATGTTGGTCTGCTTGTGTCTGCAAGTCTGTATCCTTACCCCTTAAAACTCCAAGGATTGGGAAAGTTAACCTTTTACACACATATAGCCCATGTTGTTGAGAAACGTTTTGTGTTTTTTAAGAGGTAAGTTTGGATCTGTTGTTTGCTCTTGCCTTGCCTATGTTGAGCCGTTCTGTTTTCTGGGCCGACTTCCCCAGGCCTCCTGATCAAGGGGTCCTGGTTTGGACTACTTCCTCAAGGGACCAGGTAGGTCCCGTGGCAAGGTGGGACAGGAGGTCGGGGTGCAATTAGTTAGGTGTGTCTTTCTTGAGTTGGTACCCTGTTCTAAGTGGTTCCAAGCGAAACCAAATGGGAAAAAGACATGAAGTCCATGTCTAAGTGGTTCTAAGCGAAACCAAATGGAAAAAATATGATATCCATGTCTAAGTGGTTCTAAGCGAAACCAACTGGAAAAAACATGAAATCCATGTTGCGGGGTTACCCAAAAAAAGTCATGCAGACCCATTCTACCGCCTTTCTAGGGGTTGATTCCCCTTTCTTTTCAACCATCGTTCTTTCCAAAAACCGGATCCGTTTTCCCTGGGTTTCCGGGGGGGTTCTAGAAAGAAGATCCCTGGAAAGAATGGAAATGGAAGGTTCGTTCGGAACGAGTTGGATCCCCAAATTAATGTCCAATGCTTTGTGCGTGGCGCATTTGCAAACTATGGCGGAACCCTCCGCCGTCTCTCGGAACCGTTTGCTCTAACGGGAACCAAATGGAAATTCCGACGACCATTTGAAAGGTCCCCCAAAAACCATACAGACCCATTCTGCCGCCTTGCTTGTAAGGACATGTTCCCCGTTCCCCTCTTTTGGTTTCTCGGTGGAAAACGGCAAAGGGGTCCATGGGTTTGGCAATCTCGGAAGCCCGGAGTCAGAGCTGAACGGTGCCACCGGGGCAGATGACCAAAGCTCGGTCTGAGAACCCCCCGCCCTTCATACTGTGGGTGGACGAAATCCACTTCATGGGAGCCCAAATAAGCCCCAAATAAGGCCCATAGTGGGATAAACATGGATAAACCACCAACTGATGCTAGCTTTCTCAGAAGCTTGTATCTACAATAAAGTCATTTTCCTCGACGTCCGATTCTTTTTGTTGGTCTAGGTCTTCCAGATTTGAGAGGTTAGAATAAGGGTACCGTTTCTTTTCTTCTGTAGTCTATTTTAGTAGGGGAACCCTCCCCCAAAGGGCACTACTGGGGGACCTAGTGGTATTTACGTTGGGGAATCGAATCATTCCGTTGGGGAATCGTCTGACCGGTTGAGAAGCGGATTTCGCAACCATCCCACCAAAAGAAGATCAACATGGGGGGGGGGAAACCAACAGAAACCCAGTCCCAGATTTTGCAGGAAAATCCAGTTCGGCACTTTCCCCCCTGCGCCGGCTTTGAAAGCAAGCTTTTTCAGGAGCAAACGGATTGGATGAGTTTTTCCTGGTTTCCCCATGTTGCTTTACCAGTTTTGCTGGTTCTCAGGGAAACAGTGGCTTTTGGAAGGAACCCGGGATGTGTAAGGAACACACCAAAAAAAGGTTGCAGAAACTGGGCTGCCCGTTTTCAGATCCCCTAAAAGTGACCCAAGGCTTTAGCGCGTTACATGGAAATCCAACTACCAAACACTAAAAGGATCTAAAAAGCTAAGGAATCGGCATGCCTGAAAATCATTCCATTCCTCATTCCCTGCCCATCGCATCAACAAGGCCTTTAATACTCTTTTGGTACTGTGGATGGACCAAATCCTGTACCACTTTGATCCCATGGTTGCAACCCTCATTTCCTTTGGTATTTGCAGGGGAGTGATCAGAAACCAGGGTCTCTTAGAACCGGTGGTGCGAAATGGATTTCGTGGATCCGACCCGCGGCGACTCTGGGGTTTCGGCCTTGATCGGGCCCATGTCGCCTCGGCTTCGAACGGTCAAAAACCGCTGAGACCAAAACGAGGTGTGCGTGCGTGGCATCGGCTCCAGGGATCTTCGCGTGCGTGGCAGCTGAGTCTTGCTTTCTTTTGGTGTAAGATGTTTCTGGATGTATCTAAAGAATACTATACAAATAATACATGTACAGTATTCTGCATGTAGACATGTTTCTGAGTGCGTGTTTTTGCGAGTACCTGTGCTCAGCTTGTTTGCGGGTATCTAACCAAACAGCGAAAAACACCACCGTTTGCGTCGTCCCTCTATTCTGACACTATATGCCTCAAAATGGCGGCTTTCTCCTTCAAACCAACCTTTGAAAGGTACCCTCAAAAAATGCACAGACACGCACACAAGCACACAGAGAGAGAGAGAGAGAGAGACACGTAGTGATGCATCTGCCAAATTCTGCAATAATTCCATAAACTGAAAGAAGGAATCCCAAGTGAAGGACCTACATCATAGCTTGGTTGCTTTCTGCTCCCCTGCCAAAAGTTTAACTTTTAGCGGTTTAATGGAATATCCATTAGTTGGCAAAAAGTTAAAGTATAAATATCTATTCAAAATGCACCAAAGATAGGAATTCGCTCGTTTCCCCCCCTAATGGGTGGAATCGCTCGAACACGCAAAATCGGCAGGTTCATGGACGCGAAGAGTACCCAAAA